ATCTTAATATATAATTTCTAAATATACCCTAACATTTTTTTTGGGTTTAAGTTTAACTAGGGTTTTTTGTTGGTTTTTAGGTTGAAACCTGAATCATATGTAATTCAGTTCTGTTAAGATTTATAAAAAAAAAAAAAAAATAGAAAACCGAATTGAACCTAACTAGATCCATACCAATCCGAAAAATTATTGGTTCCTAAATGAGTCCAAAACAACCCTACCCGAACGGTAAACCTCAATGCCAAAGACTAACTGCAATGCCATTTCATGAAGTTAAAAGAATGATTGATAATAAGCTTACCACAAGATGCAACAAATGTAGTGTATTCTTGAAAAAGTTGTTCCAAACCTTCAGCAAGATCATAAACTAAATCCTCTGTAATACCGATGGGGATTTCAAAAAACTCATCAATTATATCTTTTGCTAGCTTCATCATTTCCCCAGCAGATTGTGCATAAGGTTCTGATTTGGATTTCGGGTTCCATGTCTATATATAAAAAAAGAATGCAAACATTCAATATAAAGTTCAAAACCACATGAAAGTAACATTAAAATATCTAACACTTACTTCAGTTTCTTTTGCTCTAAACAAACACTCTTGAACTCCCTTTAGCTTCTCTTCAATCCATTGTCTTATAAGCCTCAATATTATTGAATCAACTTCATAAGGAACCATCTCTCTAACCAGCCCTTTACCACCGTCATCACATTCTTCTGTATCTTCAGCCACCATCTGTACTAAAACCTTCTCTAACTTCCCTGCCGTTTGCAAAACATCAACAGTATCTCTCGAGATAAACGATCTTCCTGCCAAATATTGCATCAAGATTGAACCATAGCATTGGTGAAGCGACACCGAGGCAACACCAGCAGCAACTGAATGCCATCTCTTGAGTATTGGACTAAAACATTCACGCTCTCTTAATGCTAACTCCTCTGTTTCTTTAGCTAACTGCAATAGCGTTGCAGCTGCTTCTTCTCCTTCCTCTGTTGCTGCGATCTTAGCTTTCGTGTTCTCTATCACCTGGAAACAAAAGATTTCATATATAATCTTAAAGAACACAAACAAAAACAAAATTTGTTTTCAACCTTTATAATACCTTAGAAAATGCATTTTTGATAGAGGCTCTTATGTAAAAGTCCACACGTTCTCCTGAATAATCAATTAGTTTCACATCGCCTTTCCCTTGAGATATAGTCACATCCTCTCCTAAAATTCTTGATGATGATAACGCCAGTGGGAGAAGATTCTCTATCAATCCAACATTTCCTCTTTGGAAATAATCATGGTAGCTCAATAACCTAAAATAATAGCAGTAACATTTAGATTACAAAGCTTTTTGAGTAGGGCAAAATCTTTAAGTAACTTAAAAATGACAAAAATAACTCACAAAAGGGAAAAACTCTCAAAACAACATTAATTAAACGATAAAAGGACTAAATTAATTTAAATCCTAAATATTACACTAACACCTAAATACTAAATCATAAATCCTAATCACTAAACTAAAACCCAAATATAAAATGAAAATCTTTTTCAAGTTGTAGTTGATGTTATTTTAATATTTTCTCATTGCATGCTATTTTGGAACAAAATGCATTTCTCTTTCAAATATGCTAATTTTCATGTGCTTGTACGTCAAGTAATCAAATACCTTTTCTCGGTCCATCCTTGCATAGAGGCCAATGTCGACGTCAATAATTTCACATAGAGAGCTTCACGGTCAAGTTTCTTAGCGTCATTAGCAACTTCAGCTAGCATAGCGTGGGATGCGCCTAACAAGTCTGGTTCCATTTGTGAAGTCACTACATACTGATGAAACAAAACCCAAGTGAAACATAGATTATGCACCGGTCTTGTTATCCCTAGTGTTGACCAAGTTTTCTTCATTAGCTCTAGAAGCTCATCGATCTCATCAAGCACCAATGTCTCGTCTCTAACATCGAATATCGACTGCAACAACGCTACATAAAGATGAATGTTGAGAGGGTAACCATCAGCCCAATGACAAACATCGCTAGGGTTTCCATTAGTACTGCGCCAAGATAAGGACACGACTACGTTGCATAGTGTTCTCATTGTGTCTGAGGATTTGCTTGTGTCGATGGGTCTTTTCTCGCTTTGTCTAACGATTTCTCTTAAGCGCATTGCGTTGTTGTTGGTTTTGTCTAGAGGAATCGATGGGTGAAGGAGAAGACCAGCTTCAAGGACTTTGAGCTGTCTTCGTTGCCAGATCTGGTACTCGTTTCCATCGCCGAACTCTGATGTTTTCAAGTGTCGGAGAAGCTCTAATGGTAAAATAATCGTCTCTGCTCGTCTACCCGTCTGTAGATAAAACAAACCATTTCATATTATTATTAGTTTTTATTAACTTGTGTAACAAGCAAGCGTATGATCAAACTTACTTGACCAACAAGCGTTCTCAATAAGGTTTTACGAAGCCGACTATCACTCTGTTCTGTCACCCTCATTTGTTGTCTCATGATCTCTGCCGATGTTAACGGTCTTCTCGGCCGAGAAGGCTGGACCGTCAAGAATCCGGCTCCAGGACTAACATGTCCTGAGCCACTACCCGGTGACAATGAAGTTGTCCCGGCTCCTCCAGTGGCTCCTATCGTAGACATGCGCCTAGACGGAGACCTTTTAAGCATCTTCAACCCTAGAGCACGTTTCACCCGGCTTGTCGGGGTTGTAACCACCTCTTTCCTCCCTGAAAACCCAAACCCAGAACCAGAGCCAACGCCAGATGAACCACCTGATGTTGCTGCTCCTCCTCCTTCTCCATGATTGTCATTGTTGTTGTGCGTAGAGTAGAATGTGAGAGCAGTCTTACCTCCAAACCCTGGCGATGACCTACAAGCCGTGAAGAAGATCTCGTAAGCGGTCTCACGGATATCATTAGCATCAAGACCGCTAAGTTTCCCAAATGGCCAGAGAAGGTCGGTATTAGGACAAACCACCGTGGAACCACCTCCCATGTTAGAGATAGTTACCGAGAAAGACTCACGCCGTTGATGATGGTTCATGGCGGAGGAGGAGAGGGTGGAGGAAAAAAACTTTGGACGTGATTTTATAAAATTAGATTGTCCAATAAGAGAGGAAAGAGGGAGAGAGATGACATTTCTTGTTTTAAAATAAGGCAAAACACTTAACAAACAAACAAAAAACAAGAGGAAGAGGAAGGAGGCAAGTTGGATAAAGGTAATCTACAGCAAATTTTTCATGTGTGCTGAGGAATGAGAGAGGATATGAGTTAAATTAGGAAAATACACAAAACAACACCATAATTAGCAAATGTTTAGTTTCTGGTAATCTTGTCCATCCAAATCTCATCTTGTTAAAACGATTTGGCTAACCAAGTTAATGGTATAGAATTTACGAAAATCATTTGCAGTAGATACTTGATAGCAGGATGCATATAACTTTCTGTATTTCTTAAATTTTTGCTTCAGTTTTTCTTTCATAAACCATTATGCTCAACAGAAGTTGCACCCAACAACCAAAAAATCCCAAATTCATAAACTAATCAAAATTACATCATCTCTCTCCTCTTTTCTCTTCCTATCTCTCTCTACCCTTTCTCTTAAAAACTAAATTTGTTTTTTTTTTCGGGTTATTTTACAAACACTTCCTATTCTCAATGTGTGGGCAGAAAAACATTTTTTACCGGTATAAGATTACATACCAGGCAATTCTCATTTGACCCATTTTTCATTTTATTAATGTCTTGCCAGCATTATCATATAATATTTGATCATGATATCTGCAATATCAGGAGTTCCATGACAGTGTTCACATATTCAATACGTAGTGTGAAGCAGAGAGAAGTGGTCTTTCTAGAGAAGTAGGAAGCCAGTGAAGTGGCAAATCCAAAATGTATACGAAACAAAGGTTGTTTGACTGTTAAGTTATCCACTTGTGCACCCGTAAATTTGTATACACTAGCTTTGAATATAGGCTCTCAAACGAAAAGATGGTCTAGGTCTAAAAAACAAAGCGCTGTAACAGAGATGTGGTCTGATGGAATCTGTTGGAGATTAAGAGAGTTCTTCCATGGATAATCGTAGGAGGAAAAGAGACATATGCCATTGTGAATTTATTGACATTGTCTGTTTGAGGCGTTCTTCCATGATCAGACCAAAGGTAAGTTGTAGCACTCTTATATCCTATAATCTAGTAAAACCATTGACAATGTCTTGAGAAGCTGACGAGGATTAATTACATGGTTGCCTTCTATATCTTCTGCATACCTAAGCGCAAACTTTTGTTGATTTCTCTGCCCACAAGAAGAAGGAAAGACGAGGGTAATCCTAAAGATTTCCTTTTATTTAAATCGTTTCCACGTTAAAGGAGGAAGAACATAACTCTCAAGGGAAGAACGTTGATCCAAGTTGCAGACTTCTCATGGATCTTTCTTGGAACAATGAAGTTTCCCTTTTCTTATCTCCCGGATGCAAACTTCTTGACAGACATAAGACATTGTATCTCCTCCTGAGACAACACATGCGCAGACAGAGAAGAAAATAGTTATGTATGTAGTCTTAAAGTTGTTTATTACAGCTACTCGGTTACTGCTACTAGTACCAAGAAGCTCTTGTTCTAACAAACACTTTCTTGGATCCCATTGCACATCAAGCAGAAATGTTCACCTAAACAGTAAGAGACGATTGAATGCAACCAAGGAAGATAAATAATGATAATGTGGAGGAGTTATTGTTAAACACAGACACTAGGATAGAGAATGAGAATCATTGAAAGAAACAAATATAAAATAAGCACGCAAACTTAAAAAAAAAAACACTACAACTTCATAGGAAATAAATACTAAGTACGACTCAGCATCAAGAGTGCCTGAACACATGATTTTATTAAATAACTAACAAAACAGATAAGCCAGCGCGGGTTAACCCCCTGGCCAAACGGCCCCAGAAGTGGCATCATTAAGGCTGAGATAACATCAGGGATCAAACCACATTATAGTAGTCTTTATTCCTCCAATCACTGTTGTTGAACTTGCCTACCATTTCCGTAACCTCCACCATAACCAGCTTGCCCGTTCACTTGGTGATTCTGATTCCCATAGCCTCCAGAGCCATCAGAACCATCAGCATAGCCACCTCCATGGCTGTTAAGCATATTTCCAGGCCGCCCACCAACTGCACCATAACCAGATGGAGCCCCATAAGAAGCATCATTTCCACCATAGCCATAACCTACAGAGGCACCACCTCCTTGACCCATTACTGCTGAACCGGGACCAGAAGCACCCCACGGAGCAGGAGCATTTCCATATCCCACATTACCGTAACCCGACGGTGCTTGGCCTCCCCATGAACTTCTTGGACCACTTCCAAACCCAGCTCCAGGGTTCCCGTATGGTGGCGCACCAGCTGGATTCCCATACCCTCCAAAACCGCCATAACCTACACCGTTGCTGCCATAACCATAACCAGTACCATACCCAGAAGCACCATAAGGAGGATAACCACTTCCAGAGTTTTGCGGCGGCATGTATCTACTACTCGAATCAACACGACCCTCATATCCACTTCCACCAGAGCCACCATAGCCCGGGAAACCTCCAGAGCCACCCCGACCACCACCCCCAGCTACTCCAGGATTAGCATCTTTAGGAAGAGCTCTTTTAACTTCTACTTGTTTACCATTCATATCATGGAAAGTCTTGTGCAAAACAAGGTCAACCGAATCTTCAGAGTCAAACGAAACAAACCCAAACCCTCTAGGTCGTTGTGTTGCCTGGTCAATCATTATAACTGCATCGCTCACAGGGCCATAAGTCTCAAAGTAAGCCCTAAATTCATCTGATGTTAATGCGGGAGGCAAACCTCCCACGAATATCTTCTTGGTACGAACGTTAGCGCCGCTATCAAAACTCCTAGAAGCATTAAAACTCCCTGGTCTCCCACCAGGACTCTGCTCTTCTCTAGACATTGCCCTCTTTACATCAACCTAATTTAATGTTACAAGAAAGTATAAAACCACATCAAACATAATAACAAGACCAAAGCATGAAACTTTACAGCCAAATAACACTCAAAACCTAAACAATATTTAAAAACTAGAGAAACCCAATTCAGAAAACAAGTGCAAATTCAAGACCTTAGCTACAGGATCGAAGCATGAAACTTTATATTAAAATTCAAAAAAAATAGAGAAACCCAATTCAGAAAATTCGAGTTTAATTAAAGAAAGTTTTGAACTTTACATCAAGAATCAAAAATTCGAAAAACCCAATTCAGAACATTCGTGTTTAATTAAAGAAAGTTTTGAACTTTACATCAAGAATCAAAAATTCGAGAAACCCAATTCAGAACATTCGTGTTTAATTAAAGAAAGTATTGAACTTTTACATCAAGAATCAAAAATTAGAGAAACCCAATTCAGAAAAATCGACTTTAGTTAAAGAAATTTCTATCAAGAATAAAAAATTAGGGAAACCCAATTCAGAAAATTCGAGTTTTAATCAAAGAAAGTTTTGAAAATTTTACATCTCTATTATCGATATGGTGCTTGTCCTGAAGAACCCTATCAATGACGGAGGGATCGGAGAATGCGACGAATCCGAAACCTCGAGGACGACCTGTAGCTTTCTCACGCATCACCGTCACTTGTAAAACCTCACCGTAATTGGTGAAGTACTCTTTTAGAAGATTCTCGTCGGTATCCCATGAAATCCCGCCGATAAACAGCTTTCCCTGATCTGATTCCATCTCTCCTTTAGATTCGACACCGACAAATCCCTCCCCGGTGAAGAAGAGAGGAAAGGAGCTGTAAATTTTAGTGTCGAGAGAAAGTTAGGGTTTGAGTTTGTGAAAATCGAGAGATAGGAAGAGAAAAAAAAACAGATTTGGAAAGAAGTAAGTGGCCAATTGGGTTAAAGTGAGTGAAAGAGATCAGCTTAAGGAAAAATAAAATATATATGTCTTTTCAGTATATACTTCATTTATTTTATTTTCTTTTTAAAATTTTCAAGTTATATAACAAAAATGTTATTCTCAAAATCGAAAACTTCACTGAAAAGATTAAGAATGAGAATTTTTTTTAAATGGTTAAATATTTAAAATTTTGAGAAAATCTTCAGTGAAAGTGATGGTTAGGATTTTAAATTGTTAATATTAACTCCGTTGAAGGTATGTATTTATTTTTATAAAAACTTCAATTGAGTGTTACAAGAAGAAAAAAAGCTTCAATTGTAAAGAAAACTAGATATGGACCTGCGCCCCCGCGCAGGTGTTTGATTTAACTTGTGTTCAACGTAAATTCATAACTGATGATTTTATAAAATAAAGTCTTGTATATTTTTTATGTTTTATAATTTACATATAGAATAAAATATATTACTTTAAAATATAGATGTTTACTTTTTTATTTGTAGATAATATTATATTAAATTTTATAAATTTATGTAATTGTACGAATCATATATTAATCTGTTATTTCTTGGTTAATTTATTTTAAAATGAAATAATAATTTTTTGCATTAATTTTCTATGAATTAGTATTAACTTTATAATATCTTATTTTCTTAAAATTGAACTCTCAGATTTTTTTTATTTGATTAAATTTAATGAAGTAATACTATATTTAAAAATTATTTATATAATACATACTATGTTGTGATTGATATTCTTATATTATCAATTATACCACAAACTTTATAATTGTAATTAGTTAGTTTAAATTGCTTTTAAAACTTTATATTATCATATTCTCTTAAAATTGAACTCTCAGATTTTTTTATTTGATTAAATTAAATGAAGTAATACTATATTTAAAAATTGTTTATATAATATATACTATGTTGTAATTGATATTCTTATATTATCAATAATACCACGAACTTTATAATTGTAATTAGTTAGTTTAAATTGCTTTTAAATGTAGTGGTAGAATCTGTAAATAAAAGAAAATACAAAAGGAAAGATTTAATTTATTATAAATGTAATGGCTAAATATGTAAATAAAAAGAAATATTAAAAAGATACTGCTAATAATGTTTCCAAACTTATTTATCTTTATTATTGCTATCCTTGTTTCCAAACAGTACCAAAAAGTACTTCAGTTTTAATAATATAGATAAAACTAGATTTTCATCCGCGCTTTGAATCCGCGTTTTGAAAGCGCAAAATTTTTTAAGTTGTAATCTAATACAAAAATACCAAAGATGATATATTTTTTTATTATAAAATCATTTTCATTACTATTATGCACGTCTCATATAGATTGTTAATTTCAAAATCAAATGAGTTTTTCCTACTATATACTTAACGGAGTATTTTTGAAATGGATTATCGTGATGAACAGTGATCCGCGTTTTAACAATAAAGAGTTTTCCCTGATCTGATTCCATCTCTCCTTAGATTCGACACCGACAAATCCCTCCCCGGTGAAGAAGAGAGGAAAGGAGCTGTAAATTTTAGTGTCGAGAGAAAGTTAGGGTTTGAGTTTGTGAAAATCGAGAGATGGGAAGAGAAAAAAAAACAGATTTGGGAAGAAGTAAGTAGCCAATTGGGTTAAAGTGAGTGAAAGAGAGATCAGCTTAAGGAAAAATAAAATATGTCTTTATATACTTCTTTTATTTTATTTCCTTTTTAACATTTTCAAGTTATATAACAAAAATATTACTCCCTCCGTTTCATATTAAGTGTCGTTGTATAGAATCTTTTGCGTTACAAAATAAGTGTCGTTTTCGGTTTTCAATGCAAAATTTATTAATTTTATTATGTAATTCGTTTTTCTATTGGTTAAAATATGGTTAGGTGTATGGGTAACTGTGTTTTTATATAGGAAATATGTAAAATTAATTGTTTTCTTAATCCATGTGCACAGCTGTAAAGTGACAATTATAATGAAATAGATGGAGTATTAACTTCACTAAGAACATTAAGAATGAGAATTTTTTTTTAAATGATTAAATATTTAAAATTTTGAGAAAATCTTCAGTGAAAGTGATAGTTATGATTTTAAATTGTTAAGTAGATTTTTGATCCGCGCTTAAAAAGTGCGGATACCATTTTTATTGTTTTATCTACAGATGGATCGATAAGTTTTTTGCTTTGATGATATTAAATGTCACTATCTAATATAACATTTAAAATTAATGCAGATTTTAATTTATTTTTATCATCAATATCTAAGTAAATGTATTGTATGTAATTATATAGTTTTATTTTGGGAAGCAGATAAAACTCGGCCCGCCCAACCCGCCGGACCCGCAAATAAAATATATTGTATCCGCCTCCGTTCCACTTAATTTTACGGGTAATTCATGGGATCCGCGGATAATTATTAAATAATAAAAATAATTATTTTTAATGTTTTCTAAAAGATAATATTAAATAGTATATTTTAATTAATTTTTTAATACTTTGTTAAAAAAAAATATTTAAAAGGAAATTTAGTATAATTTTGAAAAATTAACTTAAAAAGAAAATTATATTTTTGCGGATTACCAGGTACCCGCAATTGAAATTAGAACAATCGACACTCGTCCCGCATAAAATACACTTGACCCACACTTGCACATGCAACTTAATTTTTTCAAATCGATCGATCCATTCTGTGGCGGATCAAATGGAATGGGACTCGCGGCTAATATCAAAATTCTGAGCTCTAATTACACAATCAAGGCTGATGAGTTTATTTTTGAAAGAACCTTCATAAATAATTAGAAGGTGAATTTGATTCATTAATGAAATTCATTAGTATATAGTTTTTAGGTCCATAAAAGACTAAATTGCAATTATTGAAAATTTTAATTTGTTCATAAAAATAAAGGTATAATTGGAAAACATAAAAAAACTATAAAACATAATGTTTCTGTTTTAATGGTATTGATATTAATTCCGTTGAAGGTATGTATTTATTTTTATAAAAGCTTCAATTGAGTGTTACAAGAAAAAAAAAGCTTCAAGTGTAAAGAGTGATAAAACTATATTTTCATCCGCGCTTTGAAAGCGCAAAATTTTTTTGATTGTAATCTAATACAAAAATACCAAGATGATATACATTTTTTATTATAAAATTATTTTCATTACTGATATACACGTATGATATAGATTGTCAATTTCAAAATCAAATGAGTTTCTCCTACTATATAGTTAACGGAGTATTTTCGAAATGGATTATCATGATGAACAGTGATCCGCGTTTTAACACTGAATTTATTTTGTATATACATCTCAATTTAAAAATAAAATTATTTTGACCTGTGTTTTTAATTCTGAATTAATTTATAGTTGACAATTTATAATATAACTGTATTGATTTACTAATTTTATTTTAAAAAGATTCAAATTCATAATATGTGATCTCTAATAAAATTTTACTATGTGATATATTTACTTATTTTTCTTCCAATTTAAAGTTATATGATAAATCATTTATTAGAAGCTTTATTTTCTGTTTTATTGGAATGTGCAAAATAGAATTTAATAATATTATATATAGTATAATATATGGTTTCCAAGCTATTCCCATATTAGAAAAATTAATTTGTGTTGTTGTTCTTTTGTTTGAATTTAGTTAATGGAGTCTGCACAATTAAATATTATAATTTTTTTTCTAATAATCATATATAAAAGCCAACTACCTATATTAATTATGGTAATAACATATATTTAAAAAAAAAGAAGGTAAAAAGCAAATCGAAATAGAAAAAACATCCTTGTACTATCACATGTACAAATTGAAAAAAAACCATTTAATTCAAATCATTGTGGTTATTTAATGAATATTGTTTGTTCAAATCTTCTAAATATCTCTTCAAGATATTGTAGATTATTAAAATTTTAATATTTAATACTTCCTCCGTTTTATTTTAGTTGTCATTTTAGGTTTTTGTACACAGATTTAAAAAATATTTAATTTTATATATTTTCGAAATAAAAACACAACTACTTATACACCTAACTACATTTAAACCAATAAAAAAATAGAAATGTATATAAAACTAATAAATTCTGCATCGAAACTATAAAACGACATTTATTTTGAAACGAAATTTTTTCTCAACAATGACATATAAACTGAAATGGAGGGAGTATAGTTCAGTGGCATTCATTTGTAGTTATTAAGGAAAATTAAGGATTAATTCAAAATTGTACTTCAAGTTTAATATTATAGATACTAGATATTTTACTTGGGTTGGGTGTGCAAAAAAAGTAAAGCTAGAATACTAGACGGTGTATGGTAAAATTCCTGGACAGAATCGGATGGTTAGTATCTTTCTAATTCAAGAGATGGTCCAAACTTCGAATTCTAAGGTACATTTGACATATTACACAAACGATTTGATCGAGAATGTGGAATCGCACGTGATATGTCTAAGACATGAATGAAAAGAACATCGATCAGTGGCCTTGTAGTTTGAGAAAAGAGTTATTCAATCATTTTGTTGGAATCCAAGCAACTTATGTCATCACTACACGCAATTGCTTTTAAGTGAATACTAGATTCTAACCCGCACAGATGTTCGGGTGTTTAATAACACTGCATTATTAGAAAAATGCATACATGATTAATTGAATATATTTTGATGTTTACGATATTTATATATTTATATATTTAATAATGGTTTTATAGTCTATATGCATCAATTTTTATTAACATTTTAAATTATTATATATATACAACTATATATATATATATATATATTTATATATCTTTATCGGTTAGAATTTAAATGTAAATATATAACAATGAAGGTGAA